CTATATCGAGCCTCTTCACATATTTCTCAATTTTCCATTAGATTTTTTGTGTTTAATAATACATATGAGTTCTTTAATGGATATCAAAACTATTATGTTTGTTACAAGTATGTTATCTAGTTTGTCATTTATTGCTTAATCTATTTTAAAATGAGATTATTACATCTTTCTGATGCAAAATGTATCGTTCTTCTTTGTTCTCGAATTCTACCCTGAACACGTTATCATTTATTCTTATTTAACTCAAACTTTAAAACATTTTTTTTGGTAATGTATACTTGTAATGTGTAATCTGAAAATTTGAAAGACTGAACAAAATGTGATTTCAAACTTTGAAAGAAAATGTACTATGTTAAAATCAGAAATGTGTAGCATAAATTGAACCTAAACTAAACATACCTTTGCGTATTGTGGGGGAAGGGGTACTCTTTACAAATCCACATTTGAAACACATGTTGACACCATATATATTAAAATAATGAAAAAACGAAAACATCTGTAAAATGGTTCAGACAGATAAAAAGGAGAAGGTTTCTGTATTCTCAACATCTCCCTTGCTTGAAGGGCTATATTTACACACATAGAGCTTAGGCAACTGTCACCACTGTGAATTCATTGGCTGCTATGTTAAGAACTCTATTGTGGGAAACAATTTGAAAGGAAGAGCTTTTGCTGTGAAAGTTTCAAGATCTGTTCAATGATTTGAAATATTTCCAATATGTTGGAGGAGACAGACTGTGTAAAACAGAGGAGGGAAGATCAACCAAAAATTTCAAATAGGGTTTTGTATATACTCATTGAGAACCTTTTACTGAAGTTCAAGACCTAGATTATTTTGTTTATTTTATTATTCACTAAAGTGTACCTCTGCCTCAAACTAGAAGTTAAGCGCCAAAATTCTAGGCATGTCTCTTCTCAAAGTGTTTCCAGGAAGATGGGAAACAGGAAATCCTGAGACTCTTGTGAGAAACTCTGTCTTTGGATTTTTAGCTCAACTTGTATAGATTTAAGTGCACAGTTTCATAAACTGTTCCATGGTATACCAGTCCTAAAAAATGCATCTTAATATAATTGCTTATTTAATGCAGGCTTCACAAAAACTTGACAATGAAATTCTTTTTTTATGTAATCAAATTATAACCCAGTGCATTCCAGAAAACAGTGCATTGGAGTTTGGAATCAGCAGTGAGGTTTTGTGTTACTAATTTAACCCAAAGCTAAACTTGTTACAGAACACCATAACCAGGGGAAACTGACTACATTGTCTCCCCAATTTTAGAACATTGGGACTCTAATGTTGTCCTTCAGGTCAATCTCTGTATTCAGAGGTCTTCCTGTCGTGCTGAGGTGGCATCTCCCACTGTCCTGTTAGGGAGAAGACAAAAGAGAATCAATACAAGGAACCAGAGACAAAATAAATTTCATTGGTATATTAAACAGAAAATTAAAGAGGCTGTAGGCAGAGTAGTACTTAAGAAAATCTCAGTTCAGATTTTTAAAAAACTGGCTTGGCAAACAAAGTTTTGCTTTCTTATGTGAGAATGATGGAGAGATTCAAATATTATGAAAGATAAATTCCCAAAATAATGATGTGGGAATCAAGAAGTACAAAGGAGATGTGAAGGTATTGCCTCAACTGTTAGTACAATATAAATGGGTACAAATAAGTAGAACTTGCATTTCACTAAATAAAGGAGATGTCATTTCCATAGCAGTGGGATAATATGGTTATATTTCTAGTTCAACTTGTTAGAAAACATGACGTTTATCCTGTTTCTGACATTTAATATCTGCATGATTTTGGACAAGATATTTAGATTATTACCCATATACTAGGGTAATAATATACTGCAGCTTATAATAGCTACTCAGTCCAAATCATGATATTGTTTTAAGCATCAAAGGAGATAACGGTTTTAAATGCTTCACAACTGTAATAGTATGTTGGAAGGATGTGATGACAAGTGGAGATAGTGTTTAGATTTTTTCTGGCAAGTAAGTTTTGGTTTCAAACCATTTTGGAAGTGATGAAGAGGAAGGGCTGGCTTCCAAAGTAGATAATAACCAATGGATGAGAAGAATCAAACAAAAGGCAACAGTGTTTTGGAGCCAAATCTGAAGAGAAGATGAAACAGAAAGATGAGTACAGTCAAAAGGAACAGAAAGGTCGAGACGAGACCTATCTTGCCTAAAGAAGTCTAAAAAGTTGTTAATTTGTTTACTAGGGACTTCCATTATATTATGTAGAAAATTACTGCGGCACAAAAGTCATTAAGGGAGTGCTCAGTGACGAAATGAGATGGGAAAAAGACTAGAAGAGGTAATTACCTGGGAAGACCTGTGGTTTGGAAACCCTGTGAGTGCTGCGTGACATGTTTCCGGTTTGCTTGTAGTTGCCATTCCTATCACTTGGGTTTCTAGATTCCTCTGAGACTCCCGTGATGCAGAGCAGGGGTCTTACTTCCATGACAGTCCCTTCTTCACTGTGTATAAACATCTCTTCTAATAAGATAGACTGTATCGATGCCCTTTGATACTTGGCAGTCCACATTCACCACAAATTGTTTAGTGAATTATAAAATTAATGTTCTTGCCAATATGCTAATGTATATCCCTTTTCCTCAGGAAATGCAGGCTTTTTCAGCCACTAGTCAGTGTCGATTGTTTCCTTTGGCCATAGGACTTCCTTGACCAACTTTCCATGCCCAGCTCTTTCCAAATTATACTTTAAAATTATAGCACAAACTTACCTCCTGTATTGACATTTCAGATAGTAGCCATGTGTTAAGTACACATCCTCTTTATGAGGAATACATTGAAAGTAGAAAGTAAAGTCATTGAGGCAAACATCTGGAAAAAATGTATTATGTTTGAAACAGAAGTTCTGTATAAGCTTCTGTTTTTTGAGATTTTTGTTTCTAAAAATAAATCCTTAGACTAGGCATGGTGTCATTTATAGCTTGCATAATTACTGGATTTTAGTACCCGAGTAACTACAAGGTATAATATATTTTCCCAAGCCAGAATGTTACTGATTAGGAAAGCTGAATGTCCAGTGTGAGATTCTCATGTGTGCATCTGGCCCTGCACTCGGGGCACTGTCAGGAGGGTCCAAATCACATAAGCGTGCAGGTGTTTTCCAGGCTTTGCTTCGCAGGTGACTTTCTTGCCACACACTGGGCCACAGTCTCTTGGAGCAGAGGTTTGTTGGCAAAGCTCTGCAAAGTCCGTGTGCAGATCTCGCCACACTTCTTTATCTGTATGAGATCCTCAGATATTACATCTCGTCCCACACCATGTATGGAGTTGGAAATTTTGGCTCTTCAAACATACTCTATTTTATAATTTAAGCATTAAATTTATAATACTCCCTAGAGTCCCTTTTTTTGAAAACTTATAGGAATGATTCAGAGCTAGATTTCTCCAAGGTAAATTAAGTGCCCGTTCTGGTGTGTTGCATTTGAATAACACCTTGTAAACTAAGGACTGACTGAACCCTCTGAAAACAACTGAGAAAACTAAATAGACCATTTCCCCGAGGAAAACTAGTGTATTAGACACTCTATAAAATGTACATGCTTTTTACTTCCAGTCAGTCTCTAAGATCCAAGCATGCCTCTGCATTCTCTATCATTTTTAATGTGTTAGTGGAACAGAGATCTGAGGAGGGAAGCTGCTTAGTTGAAGATGGCGTCACTCTAAAGCATCCCATCGTTTTGTGAGAGCGTGCTACCAGCCGGGCGGAGCCTTCCCTTGCTGAATCATGTACACGATGATCGGGGAACTTGGGATGCCAGTTAGCCTCCTCATGATGCTTGGATTATGAAATAAAATAAAGGACCAAATATAAAATATCCCAACTCACCGTTACTTTAGCTAGCTCATTTTCTGGTTCTGTGGTATCTGCATCGTTGTACTATTCCCCAGTCCCACAGAACTCTAGTGAAGCTTGATCCGTGTTAATGTTTTAAGAATGCCAGATGAGTGAGTGTCTGTTTTGTTCATGGTTTCTCCTGAATTATTTTATCTAGCCCTTATTGGATCCATTTACTTAGTGAAAGTGATTCTATAATTTCCCCAGACTAGAATTATCTGGGTTTAGTCAGCTACTCTGAGCATAAGATAACCACATAGAATAAATTATATTTAGGAATAGAAATTTACTCTGATGACATCTGGTTTAACTGTTCTGCATTTGATGTGTATGTGCATGTCTGTATCTTATGTTTTGACAGTATATTTTAAAAAAGATTATTTGAGAGGCAGAGTCACAGAGAGAGAGACAAAACGAGAGGTCTTGCATCCGCTGGTTCACTCCCTAAATGGCCACAACAGCCGGAGCTGAGCCGATCTGAAACCAGGAGCCAGGAGATTCTTCTGCGTCTCCTACACATGTGAAGGGGCCCAAGCACTTTGACCATCCTCCACAGATTTCCCAGGCCACTGGAAGACAGCTGGATTGCAAATGGAGCAACAGGACACAAACTGGCACCCATGTGGAATGCTGGCGCCTCAGGCGGAGGCTTCACCTACTACACCTCAGTGCCAGCCCTGAAAATATAATTATTCTTGAGTCTTTGACTTAAATATTTTCAGGGTAGGTATTCAGCCTGCTGGTTAAGACCCAACATCACACATCAGAGTGGCTGGATACCGTTCCCAGCGCTGGCTCCTGGTCTTAGCTTCCTGCTAGTGCAGATCCAGAGAGGCTGCAGAGATTGTTCAGCTACTTGGGTTCTTGCCCCCCCCACCCCCGAATGGGAGACTTACATTGAGTTCCCGTATCCCGGCATCCTCAGCTATTGCAGGTTTTTGGGTAGTGAAGCTGTAGGTGGGCTTGCTCTCCCAGGCCCTCACTGTTTCTCTGCCTCTCAATTGATATAAAGAAACTATACAAATATTTTCATACTGAAATGCCTAATTAAAATTTCTAATCTTATACTGGTTACACAGCAGGTAGAGCATTTTCAGAACTAAGTCTTATTTTTTCCCCCTTGTAGTTTATTAGAACATAAAATCTTAGAAATGGAGGGAAAGCACAAGGAAGAGTTGGACACCTTAAAAGAAGAGAAAGAGAACCTCCAAGGCTTGGTTGCTCGTCAAACGTACATAATCCAGGAGCTGGAGAAACAGCTGAGCAGGGCCACAACCAACAACAGCGTCCTGCAGAAGCAGCAGCTGGAGCTCATGGACACAGTCCACAATCTTGTCAACCTCTGCACTAAAGAAGGTGGTAAGAATTTCTTCCTCATTTTGGTTTTGTAAGTACTTTATTTCATGCAAACAATGCAATAGCGAATAGAACTTTCTCCACTATATTGACTGCTGTGTAAAAAGAGCAGAATATTATTCTTAACAAGCATTTGTGAAGTTTTGTGGAAAATCATCTCATTTTAGAGAGTGTATTGATAAGCTCAATTTTGTAAATCTGCAATAAAAAATCAATTCTATTGTTATGAATAAATATTAGGTATTATGGTGTTAGATGGTTAACAATATAAGACAGAAATTAGCCAGTGCTAAAGAATGTTTCAGAGAGGAGGGGAAAGTTTTAGGACAGTTCCTATTTTGAAACTAATCTTAATTGTCTACTTTGTTGAAGGAGGAGTGTTTCTTTCAAAGAAAGGGGATAAAATTCCCATAATTTTATGAATGAGAAAGTGTTATTGCTGTTAAAAGTTACTTATTAAGGTCACTAGGCTTATTATTACATAGGAGATTTAATCAAGGTATTTGGGCACATTTGTTCTGGGCTGTCTTTGTGGCAATGAAATTTATAAAGTTTTGATCACTATAGTATCTAAGGTCACTTAGCTATTGAAATATCTGCCTGTGTCTCTCTAAAAGACATCTGTCTATCCACTCATTCACCTACCAGTTAATGGATGAGGGCCTCTCTGTGTACCTGCCACTTAAAGCAGAACCTCCTCTGAGCCTCACTACAGCTCTTTAGAGCTTGGAGCTGATGGTCATCTTTTATACTTCTGTGCTCCAAATGGGATTCTAAATGGTGACAAGTAAAATAAAACACTACTTACATCTAAAAGCCATTGTTGTCATTAAGCTGTGGTTTATGTAACCATTCATGTAGAGGTTTAAGGTGCCTATTCCATGTACATATGTGGCATCTGCTTTAATTTAATAGTAGACTTGAGCTATATGAAAATTAGCTAGATTTCATACTTTCATATATGTAAATATAGAGCATGACTTCATATTAAGTGATCTTGTTTTAAAGACATTTCACATTTCTCTATTACACTCCATTACCTTGAATTATATCTCCTTTAGATAGTCTAAACAAGCCTTTAATATACTTTGTAAAGTAATATTTTTTAAACAGTGAGTTCCCAGAGCTCCATTTGGGTGTGCTCAGTAATGTGATTGGGAAGGAAAAAACCTGCTAATCAGTCAGAGCCTGCCAAAACCCTGAGCTAGAGTCCACTGGAAGAAAAGTAGAGTGGGGTTTTGCCAGAGAATTTTAATAGAGCTCATGAGTATTTAGAAATTAAGTATTAATATGAGACATATCTATTCTCATATTGAACCAAATACATTTGGGGAAAGATTGAAAACACATTTTTTCTTATCATTCTGAGACATAAAGTACATGGGGCTGAGTAGTGAGGTCTTTTTTTACCCCATGACTTTAGAGATGTCAAGCCCTGATGATTCTCACAGAGCTCAGATGTCTGCCTACTTTCATCATTTAACTTCATTTTGAGTATTTATCTAATAAATATGTCTTAAAGCTTTTAGAGACAGGGTGTGACTTTAAAATTTCTGGCTGGGTTTTGAGTTTGAGTGCAATATCAGGCAACCAAGAATCTGTTCGATTAGAGACATTATGATGGCAACCATGATAGATACTACCCTTAACATTTATTCAGGGTGTGAGAAAAGTAACTGTATCTGTTTTATAATATAGCACAGCCAAAAAATAGTAAAAATAATAGAGTAAAATTGCCCAGTACTTCAACCCTCCAGATATCTATTTGCTTTTTAAAGATACAATCCAAAAATAAATTAGATTTTAAATACAGGATTTGTGATCCTTATATAAGGATACTGCCTGATTTTCTAATGGTTTCTACACTCTCATAGCCATTTATTTCATTTACTTTTTGTGAATCTTTTTTCTTTCTCTGTTAACCTGTGTGCAGTATTCTAACTAAATATTTCTTTTTTAGGACTCAGACACAAATTTCTATCAAGATTTTAATTTTCTGCACAAGTTTTATTTTTATTGGAGCTGTAATCTTCAGTTACTAGAAATTTAAAATCTAAAGTCATTAATAACATAACACTGAGTTAAATATCAGTTACTAAATGAACTTTTATTTTATTCCAATTTGAAAGCATGGAGGTAAAACCTTTTGTAATTTAAATCTAAATAATTTATTAACTTATTTATCAAAAGATTATATATTTTTCTTTTGGATTCATATGTACACAGGCATTATAAAATCAATATACCATAATAAATGGACCAAATTTTCTAAAATGTATATTTTAAAAGTGCCAACAATAGTCTTATGCATAATCTTATAAAAACATCATGGGCTGTGTCAGGATTTAGAAAGCTAAAATTTTTAATTGACCTTAAAAATATTTTACTTTGAATTTGAACCTCCAGCCATTGGTGGAGAAAGCTTGAGTGTACTCCTACCAGTCAAGAGAAGAAAATTTCAGTGAGTTTCTGTCATTGGCAACTAATTTGACCTTTACGAAGCTTTCATTTACAATGTCAGGTTACATGTGCCTACTTCATCAAGAAAGGGGAAGAATTACATTAGATGCTCAATATCAAACCAAGAACCCGGTGCTGAAGATGCAACTGACTTATCACATTTTAATTCCTTCTTTCTCTTTCAAGGGACAAAATTCTATTAAGCACACATTGCTGAAGTGCTATCTGTAAGCAAAACTTCCTTTATCAAAAGATGTCTGTGTATAATGTTGTTGAGCTTTTGATTATTGACAGTCATCCAAGAAACTTCTTTTAGCCTCAGATTTCTGATCTCTAAGATAGGATCATAATATGTATCTAACAGGTGTATAGTTCAACATAAATACTTACAAATGTAAAACTTTAATTATTCAGTTATATAACTCAAACTTACTAAAAGTATGGATTTTAAATATCCTCACCTTGAATAAATGACATGAGAGGTGATAAATATGTTGATTAGCATTATTTGATCTTTATGCAATGTATACATGTATTGAAACATTGCATTTCACTCATGTATATAATTATAATTTTCAATAAAAGAAAATAGAAAACATGAAATTAAAATAATTTCTAAAAAAATTTAAAAAGTTTATGTAAAGTGCGTCATGTGCCATAGTAAAATGCTCAACAAAATTGCAGGCTTTTTTTTTTTATTTTTGTGCGCTTATAATGCATCAAAGCCATATGATAAAAGAGCTTCTAGAAGTATTGGTTAGAAACATACTGTTTTCCCAAACATTTATTTAGTCCAGGAATTATAGATCTGTCTTTACATATAGCATTTTTGTTTATTTTCACAATACTTTTTCTACTAAAATATCTGATATGAAATCCATTTAAATTAAGTATAACTGATTCATTTTCTGAAAAATTCAGCAAGCTTTCTTTATTTCAAACAGGCAATGATGATATCTTAGGCAAATGGATGTTTCAAAATGAATTGCATTCACATATAAGTCTTCTGGGTAACACATTTATTTTTGTCTAATCTTCATGAAAATGTGGTCACTTTTATTCTTAGAAACATTACCCACTAAAGAAATATTGTCCTCAGCCCTATCACAGTGTCAAAGCTTAGCTGGTTGCTTCATGTTTCTGGCAACTTATAGTTATTGCTGGAATTAAGTAGTTTACATTGATAATGTCATGGAAACCAGGTTTGGAATTCTTTGGGGAAGAATTTCAAATCTCTATGAAGCCTTTACTAGTCATCTATCTAAGTGTTGATTAAAACAACATCATGTCCGTTAAATACATGTAGTGAATCTAATATCATGTGATTAAGAATTTACTGAAAAATTATGCAAAAAATTTAAAAAAAAAGTATTTAGACTCCATCCTAAAATTACACAGATTGTCTCACTGTCCAAATCAACTTGGAGCACATTCCTGCTATACCAAAATGTGATTCATAAATTTATCTGTTCATTCAAAAAATAGTTCTGAACAACTGTTATGTTTCAGATTCTCTTCTGGAAGATAAGAATGTTTATCCATTTTTATTTAACAAATATTTGCTAAGTTCCTCTAATGTGCCAGATATTGCTCAGATCACTGGGAAGAAGAAAAAAAAAACCTGTATTTGGGTCTATTGCTTCAAGGAACCAATTTTATTCTAGAATTCTTTGCTAGCAGTAAGCCCAAGATATCTGGGCACCAGCAAAACAAGCAGAATTATCAGTCATGACAGAGACAGAGGATGAGTACAGAATCCATCATCTGTAGTCGTCTTGAGGTCTATTGAATTCTTATTGGACATTGCTTAAGCTTTATGTGGACTAACTTAGTCCTCACAGCAACAGAATGAGGCAACTACTGGGCTCAGCACCATTTTATAACCCCTACAGGGAATTTCAGCATTGACTTAAGGTTACATAGCTGGAAAGGGTTGACCTAGGATTAAAACATAGGCAGTCTGCCTCCATTGGGGACATGATGAATGAATCTTGAAAATGAAATCAGTGGAGGACTTCCCTGAGAGCACAGGGTTTATTTGCCAGGAGTCATGAGAGCATGGGATGGGGATGGTATATGTAAATTCAGTCTAAATCTCAAAATCAAGGCAGGGGAATGGTAAAAACAAAACTGGAGAGGCAAACTGAGGGATATCAAGGAGGCCAGATTATCCCCTTGAAGTCATGATGCATCCATTGTGAATATTTAATGATGGTGATATTTGCATTGGAGAATTACTGTAGCCACAATGTAGGAAAAATGTACTGAAAAGTTGAGTCATTTGGAAGCAGGGTACTAAAGTTTGTTTCTGCCATTATTATGTCAGCAAATTCATAGCACAAGTCAATTTTCTGAGCCCCTTGTATATAAAAGTTTATTTAATTTTGATACCAACCCTATAAGATAAATGCTATTATTAACCTCATATGAAAGATAAAGAAACTAAGCAAAGAATAATATACAGTGTCCAAATATCATACTTCTAGTAAGTGAACATGCTGAGCATTGAACCTGGAGAGTCTCCAGTGTTCTAAGTTGAGAAG